GTACCGTATATTGGGGCTGACGATATGTATGCAGTACTGAAGATAGACCTGAGAATGATGAAGACCATAGTGATGGTGAAGTTCAACCGGAAGAAGGCGATATACACCACGTAGAGGATTTAGTTGAAGGTCCGGAAGCGGACGTTCAGGAAGCATTGGAATATAAACCGTCTGCGCAGCGCAGCCGCAGTGATAGGGAGCGCCGTCTCCCAGGCAAGTATTCTGATTATATGGTCACATGCAAGTCCTTCCTTAGAAGCTTGTTTCTTCGCAGGATTGTTGCAATCAAGTAGGACGATATCATCGGTCTACAACAAGCATTACGCTCCCGTCACAGTCCAAAGAAGAAGATGTTTAACTGCAACAAATTTCTGAGCACAGTGACTGGGGCCGCTCAGTCAGAGGCAAATTTATAGCAGCATCTGTTAGAAGCAACCTACCACAGTTGTATTCTTCACAGAGTCAAAATCAACCAGAATCCGTTCAAGCAGCCAGAAGGATTCCGTAACGATCGAGCACCAACGAAAGTGTGCAAGTTGCAGAAAGCGCTGTATGGTCTGAAGCAGTAAGTATAGCAAAGTATGGAATTAGAAGTTGGACGCGAAACTTAAACGCATGCGTTTATCACCAAGTTATTATTTCAATTTACTTCGATGATTTCCTGATCATTTCAAACGATCAACAGTTGGTGACCCAGATCAAACAGCAATTCTGTGCGGACTTCAAGATGAAGGATCTAGGACCAGTCAAGCAGGTGCTTGGACTAAGAGTGACCAGATCTAACGGTGTATTGGCGCTTGATCAAGAGCAATACATCGATGAACTGTTGGCTAGATTCAACTTGACCGACTGTAATGCTGCTTTGACTCCCATGCGTGATCGATGAGCAACATGCGAGTCTTATGTCTGTTTTCTGTGCTTTCAGTGTCTGCGCTCGATTTCACTGGGCTATGGCTGACTTTGAAATTGAGCTCAATCAATTAGCAACTCTCCCGACGTGGTATGTAGTGCAATGTTATGCTCGTTTTGCTAGAGTGAAGAAAAATTGCACTGGCAAATTTATGTTCCGTTTTGGTGAAATCGTGTGTTCAATTCTTTTTAATGTCCCTGTGTGCAATAAAACAACCTCTACATTATACGAATTCATGGAACTGATTCATAAAGATCCAGTTCTATTGTGCTGGAATCTGGATAAGCCGCGAAGAAGGTTTGCAATTAGCAGGGAGCAAAGTAAATATTGTAATAGAATTTTTTTTTCAATCTTAATATATTCTTTTCCGAAACCCCTTCTTAGATCCATAGGCCAACATTAGAGCCATTTCCCCTATTATTTTTTTTTTATTGGGAGCAATATTCACCCCAAAACCGTACCAAAAACAAATATTTGCTGTTGGTTTTCTTAAAAGGCAAATTTATTTCACTATCTAATGATTGAGATAGATCTGTTTACAATCTGCAAACGTCAAAAATCGTCGGAAGCTATTCAAATGAGATATACATGATGACTAATTAAAACAGCGTTTGGGGCTGAAGTCGTATAAAGTAAAAATAGTTCCAAATCGCAACGACAAACAGAATTTGCCAGTAAAATAATGGGTTCGACGTTTGAACTGCAAATATTTGACGAAGTTTTCATGCGATGCTATGGACGATGAAACTTACACACTTAAATTTTTTCGCCGAGATTCCAACATCCGAGTAATTCTGCAATTTATTTTGCTGAGATTCAGTAAAACAATAGCCGAGACTCAGCTAACAAATAACATTTTGCTGAGATATCAGCTAACAAACAGATATTTTGCAGAGATATCGGCAAAAGTAAATGCCGAGGTTGTTGGAGATTTTACAGAGCTAGATTAAGTATGTATGTCCTGAAGGATTTCAATCAACTTCCAGGGTTGGCTTTCTATGCTGCTATAGTCAAAAATGCTACAACTGAGTATATCAGGACAAAGAAGGCGATTGCTACCCTTCATCACACGCAAGGTGTAGCGCTTCAACCCTGTGTAGATGATGAATTCAGCAGTTCCATTTCAAATGACGATTTTTTTTTAAATTTTTTGATCGACCTTCTACGATTATGCTGAAACTTTGCACAGTTGTTTGTTATTGTCCAACATGCCATTTTAAATTTTTGGTTCCCTAGTTTTGTATACGACTAACACTTGAAAAGGGCTTATGCAAAAAAGTGATACGCATCAATAGAAAAACATATATCTTGCGAACGATTTTATTTGATTGAGATGGTGTCTTGAAAGAAGTTGCGGACAAGTATTGTGCCTTTCAAGAAAAAATACACGCCGTAAAAAAAAAATTTTACAAAAAAAAAAAAATTTACAAAAAAAATAAAAATTATCAAAAAAAAAAATTAAAATTACTCAAATTGCATATTTTTTTACATCATTTTATTTTTATATTTATATATTTATTTTAAAGTTTAGATAAATTATAGCCTACTGACACTGTGCATTTGCTGGGCAAATCATAAACAAAAAAGTTATTAATTATTGAAAATAATACCAAAATACCACCTACAGTTATCGAATATCTTTAAAATAGTGTTAATATTGAAACACATCCAACCCAAATAACAATTTTGGTTTTATGTTGGTTCTGTAGACCATGATTTAGACTTGTATAATGCTATAAAACCTGCAATGCTACTTGGGAATTTACAACAAAAAAGCTCATAATGCTTAAATTGCCCAAAGTTGTTATTTTCGAGATACTCGTTGGTTAAAATTCACTTATCGCATATTTTAAGAAATTTTCGCCCTTTTGAGATGTTTACTCAAATTGCATATCTTTTTAAAATATTTTTTTTATATTTATTTTGTAGCTTAGGTAAAGAAATACCTATTGACACTGTGTATTTGCTGGGCAAATCATTACTAAAAAAGTTATGAATTATTGTTAAAAAAAATATACTATAAATTAAATTTCCAAAATACTACCGATAGTTATCGAATATCTTTGAAATAGTGTTTAAATTCCAACACATTAAGTTTACAACAAAAAAGCTCATAATGCTTAAATTGCCCAAAGTTGTTATTTTCGAAATACTTGTAGGTTAAAATTCACTTGTCGTTTAATTTGAGCAATTTTAACTCTTTTGAGATGTTATTCGTGAGTGTTCAATCTTGAAAGTATTTTTAACAAAAAGTCCAATTAATTTCCTTAAATTTTGCTATTCATAGTTTTTCAATCATACGCATGAGTTAAGATATAATTAATTATGAGTAAGAGACGGTATGAGAAAAGTGTATATTATGTATGTATCAATTCGAAACTAACGATTTTAAATTGGGTCACTACTTGACTAGCCTATTGGTCCCAAGCAAATCGATTAACGTATCCCATTCTAGTATGAATTCCAGTACTACACTACACTGATATGTTTGATAGGTAAAATGAGGGGTGAGTGAATTTTCCAATGTTTCGAGGGGTGCATCGATTAGCTTGGGACCGAAGATAGTACTAGAGCTGAACCAAAAAGTTGAGGTCGTTTGTTCGGGACCTGCTGGTCTTAGAGTTACCTCTATGGTAATACCAACAATCAATACGAAACTAACGATTTTAAATTGGCTCACCACTTTAGTAGCCTATTGGTCCCAAGCAAACGATTAACGTACCCTATTCTAGTTGAAATTCTATTACTACACTATGTTTGTTTTGATTCGCTATGAAAGTTTGACAGATAACATCAGGGGTGTGTGGATTCATGCAGAACATGCAGGGGTGAGTGAAATAGCTTGGGACTGCTTGGGACCGTTGTTCTGGTACTGAGTGAGCCAAAAATAATAATGATTTTCTTCGGGACCCAGTGGTCTTAGAGTTACCTCTATGGTAATACTGCGTAAACGAGATAGATTTGATAACGGAGTCGGAGAGCAATAAACGTTTACTGGTTCGTTTGAAGTTTCAACAAGAACTGTCGATAGTTTATTTTCCAGATCGGTTGAAAGCTCTGTTTACCAAAAACATCGTCAGAAAGTGAACCGAAGCATGTAGTTTGCGCGTGCGCATGAAGTACACACTAAATGAAAATACTGCAAGCATGACTGAAGGAATATAAACAGACTGTCGCGCACGACAACGAAGCGAGTGTAGTAAAAAATGATCACCGTTTCACTGGTAAAGACTTATTATCATCATTAAGTTTGCGAGTGACTGAATAGTGAGAAATGAGATAGCATATTAATGCATTAAATTTTTCCGAGCATCGCTGGGGGTATTCAGTTAGTTTTTAATAAGAAGGGAATTTCCGGTACTAGCTAATACCAACAAAATGGAATGCGATTTCTGATTCTTGTAATGGTCGTAAATAAGTGCAGAGGAGCGCCAAACAACTGTCAAAAGATGTGACTTCGGTCAAATTTACAGTGTATCTTTAAATTGCGTACATTTTACAGTGTATCTTTAAATTTTAAATTTTAGGAAAACAGCTGTATGAGCACAATCTAGAAAGAAAGATTTCTGAATTTCTGGCAGTTTGCTCATCAACTACTTATCGGTTATCGGCGTAGCATTGGGCTTTTTTGGATGTCTGTGTAAGAAGTTAGAGCTATTAAAAAAAAAAACACGTGATTTAAAACATTTATTAAACAAACACATTTTCTTCTAATTAGATCAACCAAACTTATAAAATTTTGCTCACAATAAAGCTCTTTCATATGCCGCTAGTTTCACTAAAATCCGTCCACTAGAGAAAAACAAAATTGAAAATCAAGCGTTTTACTGAAATTACATTCATACAGGTTCTGGCAATACAGTCCAAAACTATACCGATAAATCAATAAATAGTTGTTTAACCACCAGCTGAGATTTCAAAAATCCATCTATTCACAGTGTTTAAAAAAAATGTCCCTTTCATGCTTTCGCTCAATTTTGCCATACGCTGTACGTACTCTCAAACAATAAAGTTGTTCAAATAATAAAATAATGCTTGCAGGCTGTATATCAATTTATCCCATTTCGTTGTGGTTTTATGTACTCGGCAGGTATGAATATTTTCCCGGCTTCGCAGGCGAAGAGATGTGGAATCCTAATACGAACGTATCGGAAGATTGCCTGTATCTGAACATTTGGGTGCCCACCAAGACCCGTTTGCGTCATGGCCGTGGCCTAAACTTTGGAAGCAACGACGTAAGTATCGGATTGATTTACTTTTGTGGGTATTAGGTGTCTTCTTCTGGGAGGATGTATAGTAGGGTGTCCCAAAATTGAACTATGTCTGGAAATCTGGGGGCTCACCCTCCAAATGATAGCTAAGGGTGTTACAAACAAACTTTTGTGTGGCGGCAACTCTAGGAAATGTTGTTTAGAGGTCTCCCCGACGAGATTTTTGAAAAAAGTTCATTTTTCATAGCTATTATCCAATAAATATTTTTAGTTCTTTAAATTTCAGCGAAATCTCACCCTTTTATATTTTTCGCAAATTACCAAGGGTCAAAACTATAAGAGAAAAATTGCTACGGCATGTCCTGTGTCCAATTTGTTAGTTACAATTTTTCAAATTCTCTAAAATGATGTTTTTTGTTGAACATCACTGCATTCAATCATCAAAAGTGGGTATCAAACATAGCGCTATTATCAATCAAATGCAACATAAATATGGAAAATTTTACTAGCCAAAACTTTGCCGGAGACACTTTAACCTCATTTTTAACCGTTAAAAAGTTATTTGTGATTTACTGTGGAAAGAAAAGTTCAGAATTTCAATACTTGCAGTATGTCCACCAGCAAATCAAACTATCATTGAAATCGATAAATACAAATCACCTACTTTGTTGCAAATCATTTGATAACATTTGTTTCGAAGTTTCTAGAATTCAATAGGAGGATATATGAGCGGAGAGGGATCACACAATTTATTAGTTTCCATTTGATTGCCGTAGCAAGCTGAACCAAAAAAGAAAATCATGTCACCAAAAACCAAGCTCAAGTCGGATCTCATCACCGGTATTGCGAGGAAGCATTTGCCCAGAAACCGTTTGTCGTCGGAGTTGGACATCATCAGGTACTTTCGATTCAAGCATGAAACCCAACAACTTTCAATCGGAAAAAGCATTCAAGTTGTGGCTACCGAAGCTGCTTGCATATCAATGGTACACTGCTTGAGAAGCTTTTCGGAAACTCAACCGGAACTTTGTTTGTCACCTGCTGGCGCCAGAATTCTGCACGGACAATATCGTTTCGTAGCTCTTCATCGATGTGGTTCACGCTTATGTTGAAGAAGTAACTCAACCGCATCCTACACATCTTCAAAGCTGGCAATAGCTCTGATTTTTCTTCTTGAAGGCTTTACTTTGGCGTTGCCATGTCACAACGAGTTTGGCAACCCTCCTAACAACGTTCCGCTTGAGCTGGTGCGAAAGTCCGGCTTGATTCCAAATCTCCACAGCTTCGGTAGCCACAACTTGAATGCTTTGTCCGATTGAAAGTTGTTGGGTTTCGAAAGTACCTGTTGATGTCCAACTCCGACGACAAACGGTTTCTGGGCAAATGCTTCGATGATGAGATCCGACTTGAGCTTGGTTTTTGGTAACATGATTTTCTTTTTTGGTTCAGCTTGCTACGGCAATCGCATGGAAACTAATAAATTGTGTGATCCCTCTCCGCTCATATATCCTTCTATTGAATTCTAGAAACTTCAAAACAAATGTTATCAAATGATTTGCAACAAAGTAGGTGATTTATATTTATCGATTTCAATGATAGTTTGATTTGCTGGTGGACATACTGCAAGTATTGAAATTCTGAACTTTTCTTTCCACAGTAAATCACAAATAACTTTTTAACGGTTAAAAATGAGGTTAAAGTGTCTTCGGTAAAATTTTCCATATTTCTGTTCTATTTGATTGATAATAGCGCTATGTTTGATACCCACTTTTGATGATTGAATGCAGTGATGTTCAACAAAAAACATCATTTTAGAGAATTTTAAAAATTGTAACTAACAAATTGGACACAGACCATGCCGTAGCAATTTTTTCTCTTATAGTTTTGACCCTTGGTAATCTGCGAAAAATATGAAAAGGTGAGATTTCACTGAAATTTAAAGAACTAAAAATATTAATTGGATAATAGCTATGAAAAATGGACTTTTTAAAAAAATCTCGTCGGGGCGACCTCTAAACAACATTTCCCAGGGTTGCCGCCACACAAAAGTTTGTTTGTAGCACCCTTAGCTATCATTTGGAGGGTGAGCCTCCAGATTTCCAGACATAGTTCAATTTTGGGACACCCTAATGTATAGGTTGTAGGTGGTTCAAATACGAAAGATAATTCACATCCTTTTTTTTTTCTTTCGGTCCAATGACCACTTTATTGCAGTACTTTCAGGACGATGATGACTTCCAACGCCAGCATCAATCCAAGAGTGGCCTTGGAATGCTAGTGTGGATATATGGTGGGGGTTTTATGAGCGGTACATCAACACTGGACGTTTATAATGCTGAAATGCTTGCGGCGGTTGGAAACGTGATCGTGGCGTCCATGCAGTACCGAGTGGGCGCTTTTGGGTTCTTCTACCTCGCGCCTTACTTGAATGGAAACGAGAACGATTCACCTGGTACGAACTTTTGGTTGGTTTTAAAGACACCATGCATTATTTATGCAAAATTTGGGGAAATGCATCTCAGATAAATATTTTTAAAGACTCGTGTTATATAATTTTCAGTTCATACGTTTTGCTAAAAAACAAGTCAGTGTCGACCCGATTTTATCAACTTTATTAATAAATATTGGATTTCATTCGAATGGAGTCTGAGAAAACGAAAATGGATCGCAGAGAGTGCTTCAGTTTATTTTGATAAATATGTGTTTATATTCATACCATGCTTTTATAGCATATTTTTAGTATATGGACAAATGTATTGTTATAGGTAATTCGGAGTAACTGTCGCTTAAAAATGGTCATAACGATTGAACGGTTGCATGAATTTTTGATATCAGTATATTTCAGATATACTACATATATAACCTTCAACATAGAATACTTAAATTCAAATTTCTCTCCTTTTACCTTAATTGCCACTCACCTTTGTCACGAAAATCAATCACAGCAGGTACACACGTTTTAGTTCCCTAGAGTCCTAACGATGCGTTTAAGCCTCGATATTGAACTGATTTTTCAAGCACGGTTCCTTTGTACCTCTATAATATTGCTGTGAAAAATAATTGTTTCATTTCAGCATCAAAAAGATAACACACGAAATTATACGGATTTATAACATCCTTAATTTTTACATCTATGGCTGGTTGAAATCGGAAACGAATGAAATTTATAATCCTACTATCAATACAAGCTGAAATTTGTGCATACTTTGAAACAATAATACTTGAACATGTATTAATTTTACCCATTGAGAAATGCATACATGTGAAATCAGTGACAGTTACTTACTTCAAATCGCATATATTTTTGATGACTTCTAGTTAATAGGACGACAATAAACGCTTATGCAAAAGTAGTACTCTACCCTACGTGCTGTTTTGAGCATACAGTGCACAGTGGACAAAAACTGATCCTGAGTGGCACTTATGTTGTGCCGCTGGTTTTAGGTTTTATAAGGTAAACAAAAAACTGGGAATCGAATGCCGCTAGTTTTGCCTTGAGCTGACTATTGTATGTTGCCCGTTTCTCCCCATTTTCTGGCTTTATATGCGACTGCGGGTTATACACAGTCATAAAATGGTAGGAAGCCAAGCAAATCAATTACAACTAATCTCGTACTGTGCAGATTAAAGAGATAGCTTATTTTCCCCATTTTCCCGAAAACTCGATAATTTAGGGTAATTAATAACAGTTTTGAAAACTGTCGCTAGATCTCAGGCATAATACACTTCATTAATTATATATAAAAAAGCCCAGCGGAGCATGTATCGGATAGTTCTCCTTGTAAAATAGCTCATGTTGCCCCATTTTCCCAAAGCTTGTTTATAAGAGGAATTGATATTGGTGTTGAATTTGCCGCCTGACTTCAAACATTTATCATATCTTGATTTCAAAATCACAAAGACCTAACTGCGATGCTAGATTGTCCTAATCGATTTTCTCTTTGGCTTGTGTTTGTGCTAGGGTTTCGTGGTCGTGCGGTTAGCTGCTTCACCCGTCGTTCAGGCTTAATGTGAGTGCCACGAGGAGAGGGTTCCATTCACACTCCAGCCGCAATCCGAAAATTTCCCTACTGGTCTACTGGGTATTGTGTGTTTTCCGTTGTCTAGTGTTAAGTGTTCAGTCTGTGCAACCTCTGGTTGAAGACGGTGTCAATTGTCTCTCTGTTACTACAGTTAAGTAGACCAAATTTCCGAATTTTCTGCTATACAGTACTGTACACTGTAAAAAAGCTAGCGCACCGAGAAATGTTAATCATGTCGAGTTATTCAGAAATGAGCTAAACGATGAAGTGATCGATCATTGCAGTTAGGCCCTAATGATTCTTTCAAAACTGTTATTATTGATTCGAACCTCTTAACGACCTTTATGAAGAGCTTTTTGAGTGTGTTGATTTATTTCCTTATAATTCCGTTATAATTGTTTATCTTTGAAAGATACGCGTATTTCGTCTACTACTTGCATCAGTGTCAAGTATTCCAAGTGGTGTTAAGTACATGGCACTGATGAAGTCTGCACGTAGTAGACAAAATACGCGTATCTGTCAAAAGATAAGCAATTATAATGGAATTAAAAGGAAATCAATCAACACACTCAAAAAACTCTTCATGTTATAATTGAATCATTGATTTTTTTAAATTAATTACCCCTTAATAACAAGTTTGAAGAAAACGGGGCGAAATGAGCTACTTTCCGAGGTCAACACTATCCGATACATGCCCCAATCGATTCGTTGAACTTTGTGTGTTGGACATTGGATGATGTGTTTTATCTTTGACATCTAGCGGCAAAGATTTCAGGGGAAAATGGGGAAAAAGCCAAAAAGGACAACATTGTCATTAATACAGTGCATGAACTGCTTTTACGCTACGCTGCTTTTACTGCATTTGTTTATTTTTGTGGCCATAAAAATCACATGAGATTTTCGACAAGATTGAAGTGCATCCTCTTGGATGTAATATTAAAATTTATTTTTTACTGTGTAGTATGAGATTAGTTTTAATTGATTTCCTTGGCTTTCTACCACATCAGGCACTGCATTTTATGCCTATAGATGACCGGCAGTCATATATAAAGCCAAATAAGTTCTAATTTCATCATAAATGGGGAGAAACTGGCAAAATGGGACACTTCCGGTAGTCTACGCAAGACAAAAACAGTAGAATTTGAATCCCTGGATTTTTTACATAAGAACAGATATATCACACCTCTTGAAACCAGCGGTACGAAATAAGTGCTACTTTGGGTCAGTTTTTGCCCACTGTGCAGTGGAAAATGATTTTTGGGACTAATTCGTTGACTAGAGGTCCAAGTCCAAAATGTCGAACGATGTTTTTTGACGTAGGACTACGTCTTTGATTTCTATATGGGGGTACACTTTGTGAAAACCGAAAATGGAACATGTAACAAATTAAGAAAGATTTTGAACGTTAATAACTCAGCTGCCCCTGGTCCAATTAAAATAATGTTATCACCAATCGATCAGAAATATGGCTACGCATCGATAAAAATGTTGATCCGAATGTTGATTTTCAACAAGAAACTATTGAAAAACTGGTAAATGTCCAGCATTGTCCAAAAGCGTTGAATTAACTAACAAATCCACCAATTACCTACATGCATATGCTGCTTCCCCAGCACAGTCGTCAGAGAGTAGTAAGTAGACGAAACAAGTCGAAGTGGCATTCGCCTCCGATCCTCGGGCGCGTGCGAATAGGGAGGATGGAATTGCTCGGGAATTGCGTAATATTTTGCACACTCATCGCCATCTCCGGTCTGATTTACGAGGTGTGCTGAAGGTGTTCCTGAAAAATGAGATCCGTGATGCTGTCACCTACACTAAACACGCCAAGCGTAAGCGGCCATGAATGTCATCTACGTTTTGAAGTGACAGAGACGCACTCTGTTTGGTTCCGGAGGTTAAATAATCACCAACTTTGGCAACAAAACGGCTCTTTTCAGGGCCACCAAGCTTATTACGAAGACGGCAGGAAAAATTTGTGAAGCCGAGTTATTTACGAAAGAGAGTGTCGATGAAGAGAATCGATCAATGTAGATAGGACCTATTGAAAAGTGACGCGAGATTTGTTTTCCGTACTGAGCTCCAATGCTACCGACGCCAGGGAGGCAGCTCCCACACCTGGACCCTACCAATCGACCCATCAACTCAACCGGGGACCAACGGCTTTACTTCCCGAAGAAAGGCGTGATCAGAGATGTTATGCCTTAGAACATGCCGGTGGCGCCGACTGAGATTGGACCCAGGCCTGCTGGGGTGAGAGGTAATCACGCTAACCACCGGCGCCGATATCTTTCAAGATGATATCACGGCGAATGAGATCGACCCAATTTTGAGTTTAGTTATCTCAGAAATAAGAAATAAAGTGCAGGAACTCAGCAATGAGTAAATTTGCCTCATGTTTTCCCAGGTTTTTCCAGGATTTTCCAGGGAAAAATTCCAGAATTTGAGAAAAGTAAAGATTGGATTCACTCAGTCTATTGGTACTACTCCGAGACTGAATAAAATTTTCGTCAATTTCCTCATTTCTGGCAGATTTTTTAGGTTTTCCACAGGAAACCATGAGACAAATTTACTCATCGCTGAGTTCCTGCACTTTTGGCGATTATGAGTGAACTAAACTCAAATATGGGTCGTTCTCATTCACCGTGTACGCAAAAGGAAAAGAGCCAGTGTCACTACTTGATAGCAAACTACTCATAATGGGAGGAGTCTTTGTAGCTTTTATACCACTTGGTTGCACATCATTCTGCTTTAACCTGAAAAAGATATAAAAGAGCGCTGCTGTATGGCATTAGCTAAATGAATTCTCTGCTTGATCGTCAAGCAGTATAGTTCGGTCTTTGCTCGCTTTGTCTAGTTGTTCGATAAATCTATAGTTTGTTACAAACGTTTGCAGATATACTGCACGTCGCGTCGTCAGTAGTGTCGGTCGCATCGCGTGATGGGAAGACAGCGCTCTCGGAGCCGACTTCGTGAACAAGCGGAGAAGAAGAACAGTGGTGAGGGTAGCTCGGTACCTACCTCAAATAGGTACGCTACTCTGCCCACCGATGTTGGAAATACCAACCCAGTCCCTGTGAAGCGGACGAAAAAGAGGAAGAAGAACCAAGGTCAGTCCGATGGTACGAGCGGACGCGACGATGTTACCGCGACGAACGCCAGCGACATCGGTGATTTCGGCGACGCCGTCGAAACCGAGAATTCTGCCGGCCCGAGTGCGGCGAAAATCAAGCTTCCTCCACTGGTGGTGAAGGTAGTGCCACTCAAGACGCTCATTGGCGATTTCGCATCGCTGGGCATCGCAGCTGAGTACAAGATCAGCAGGATCGGCACTAAGGTGATGCTCCGGACGAAAGCGGAATACGAAATCGCAGTCAAATTCCTGAAGGATTCCAATGCGGAATACTTCACGCACGACATCCCCGGTGAAAAG